AGGGCCTGTTGAAGAGATTCATATGTTGAACTCACTAGAAAAGAACCGAGGATTCCTGTCGCTCTACTATTTTCTGAGGCTACTATGCGGTTGATATCGACGCAGTTCGAGAGACTTCCTCCCTCAGTTCAGGTGAAAATATTTTTGGTTTTATTCTGTCATGCTACATGATAGCCTTGTTGGAAGGACTTTCATTGAAACCCAGTTTTTCTTCGTATCTATTCGATAGCCACCGATAGATAAGAATCTAATTCTTACCATAACTTAAAGCTTATACTAAGTCAAAAAGGTTGAACTCTCATTATTTGCAAAATGTTTCTTGACTGGGCATAGTATAAATGAGCTTCTATAACTCTTTTAAGATAACGTTGTTGTGGCGACTTATTTTTTCTTTTGATAGTCTATCTATCCGTGAGTATCTCCAACATTTAAGATAGGGTTGGTTGGTCTTCTTGACTTAATTTAAGCTTGCATTTTTTGTAAAAATGAGATCCAACTCTGATGATGTCTGTCAACTGGTATGATTGTCGAAAGCTCAGTCCCTTTTTCCTCCAAACGGAATAAGGTGTTCTCGAGGATTGCATCAGCCTGAACATCTAAGTAATATCAAGCCATTGCATAGCAACAGAAATCCGATTGAATTTTATGTTGAGATCGACCTACGAACCTAAGGATAATATATGATTCTGTTTACTTAATCAGTAATTAACTGTGGAGCTACCATATTGAGCACTCTGAGTCGCCACAACCAGCAATCGACAATCCCTTGGCTGCGCCAGTGTATTATTATGCAGGATGGACGACAACCTCGACTCTACCCATATCTTACAAGCGCCTTGAATGGGAATCATTGAAGGTATTGCTTACCCTCAAAAGCAATATCTTGTCCATGTCATGTCTCCAAGTTAACTGGATTTCGATACGGGTCGATTTGGAGACTATCAATAATGCTTGAATGAGAACATGGTTAAATTTGGTCGCATAAAAGATGATTTAAGGGCTGATATGTGCGTTTTTCCACAATCATATAAGTAAGCCTCAGGATGCCGTTGAACTTCAGTTGGCCCTGCCACCAAAACGGTTGGACAGAAAAGGTCTGTCCGTCCAACATATTCAATTCTGCTCTGTTTCCTGCAATGCATTACACGAGTTCGAGTTCTTTTGAGGATGGAGATGTGACCCAACCGGGTTCTAAACTGCAGTCTAATCTTAATGAGAATACCTTTCGGGGAACAAGGCTAAGTGGGATTTAGTGACAATGTGAGGCCTATTCATATGATTGTGGGAAAATTCATCTATCAATAGACCTCTTATTCTCGATAGGTCCATTTTCTGGGATTTATCCGACTCGGATGAGGTCTGAATTGTGGCAAAATGAAACATTTTGCCTGGGATATGTTACATTTTAAAGGATGCTTGACTTTTCACTAAATTTTATGATGTCACGAATTCTGCTGATGGTGTGGCGGGGCTGAAGCTGCATTCCACTCCAGCCAAAATGAGAACACATTTTAGGAGGAAGCAAGGCCATGTGAAATTCAACGAAAATGTAAGGTGTACACATATGATGGTGGGAAAATTCAACTATCAGTCGTTCATCACCTTAAGCCAAATAGGATCAACACATTTCATATATCTGATTTACTAGCAGTCTCGAAAACCTACTTAGAAAGGAAAAATAAGTTCAACTAGCGAACCATCTTCATCTTATGCAACCTATAATGTATGAAACTCTTATAGAAGATTGAGTGATGGTCTCGAAAACCTAATTGCTCAGAATGTACTTTGTATTGTTGGTCTGATAGAGTTCTGCAGAACACAAGTCCGAAGTGAGCCGGAAAAAGCGCGATCCCGCCAAACGGTGCGTCAGTGAGCCAGCCAAGACACAACCATCCGCTGGAGTCGCCGTCCTCGAGGCGGGACGGCCTCGAGGACAGGCCTCGGCGGCGAAGCCCTTCTGCCGACTCCAGCGAGTGTTCATGTTCCACAGGACCAGATCGGGTCCAAACACCGGCTCTCTGGAGGCGGCCAGCCCGTCCGCCGAGCGCGGCTCACCCCCACCGCCGCTGCACTCCGCCGGCGGGATCAGAATCCCCGATCCTTCGCCGTCAGGCCCGAGGCTGCCCAGCCTCGGGCCTGACGGACCTGCCGAGAGGGCGAGACTGAGTCACGAATCGGCCCGGGCACGGGGGAGCTCAGACGCCAACGCCGACGCCGACGCCT